CACCACCACCATCACCATCATCACCTCCACCCCCCCCACCATCACCACCACCACCACCACCACCATCACCATCACTACCACCACCACCATCATCACCTCCACCACCCCCACCATCACCACCATCACCATCACCACCACCTCCACCACCACCATTTGAACTGCAAGGTCAGCGGTTCAAGCTCACCAACTGCTCCTCAGAAACCCTATACAGGGTCACTATGGGTCGGAATCGACTCGACAGCACTTAACAACAACATACTATTATGAAAGAATCAGATCTTTTTCTTTCCAGAACTTTACTGTAACTTCTAAAAATACATTTAAATAAGAGTAACTCAATTTCAAAAAAAAAAAGTTACATAAACCTTTCAATTTCAAAAGTGTCACTGCTGAGGGAGAACCACAATCTCAAAATATCTAGCTAAATTTTCACTTTGAAATATCAAAATCAGTCAATTTTGGACACCAGAATTCATTTGCCTGTGTAAAATTATTTGACGACAAAGGAGAACTATGGGAAATGCTACTATAGGAGAGTGGCTGGAAAGCAATCTGGTGTACCTGGAGAGGCCAAAATTCAGGGAAGCCTGATAATTCTCGAATCTCCCAGGATACTGAAAACAGGAAAAATCAACTGGGGCACAGGCAACTCATACCGGACTACCTAAGCAACTGTTACTTACCTTGACCAGGGAAATCTGAAGATTAATTGTCTTTCCATTCCTTAAGAGATTTTGTAATTTTCTGCTATGTAGAATATTATCTATATAGATCCATAGCCTTTCAACAATGTCTTCCTTCAGTTCAAGTTTTCTCTTGTAAAACGCAACCAAAGATTGTCTTGCCCAATCAAGTAACACCTGAATTTGAAGAAAAGATACTCTGAAAACAAATGAACTTCTTTGGCAAGAGGCATTTTATATATGTATTATTAATGACATTCAAGACATAGCCAAAATCAACTGTCATGAGAGAGAAAAAAAAAACCTCTCCTTGAAAATTTACCTTTGGTAACATAATGTTACACAAATGCTTTGTATGTGAGGCTGACAAATAAATTTCAAGTAAAATTCTAGCATCCCTATCTCTCGGGTTACCATGTTTTAACACTAGCTCAGAATGGCCACAGCATGAAGCACAGACATTGTTGCCTTCGAGCCAATTTCAATGCATTTGCGGCAAGCTCATGTGTGTCAGTGTAGAAGTGTTGTTGCAATTGTTTAGTGCTGTCGAGTTGGTTCTGACTCATAGCGACCCTGTATAGACTTTCTAAGGAGCAGCTGGTTTGAACTGCTGACCATTTGGTTCACAGTCCAGTGCTGATCCTACAGCACCACGCCAGTGCTCCAGAGTAGAACCGTAGCAGTGGTGATATGCCGTGGAGTCAATTCCGACTCATAGCGACCCTGCATGGGGCTTCCAAGGCTGGAAATCGTTACAGAAGTACAAAGTCTTTCTCCCATGGAAACACTGGTAAGTTTCGAACTACGGACCATCAGGTTAGCAGCCCAACTCGTAAGCCTATATACTTCATGGAATTTTCAGTGGCTGATTTTTCAGAAGTAGATCACCATGCTGTTCTTCTAAGATGTCTTTGGGTGGACCCAGCCTTTTGGTTAGCACCACCCAGGAACCAAAGAAGAAGCTCCAGATGACGGAGACATGTGTCCTAGCATTCCACCTTTCCACAGCCAACCTCTAAGTCTATTTACCTAATCCAGAAAACAGAGATAGTCAATGTGAACCCATGTGGGAGCACTTTACCAAAAGCCATGTTGTCGGTATAGAGTTTCCATTATTGTGACACGTTTCTTTAGTCATAGAACACTGGGGAAAGGTGGTCAAACCTCAGTTCATGCTATCAGAACAGGCAGAATAGTATATACCAAGGCAGAAGCCTTAGAGAGAAGAAAACACCGACTCTTGGCAAAAGCATAATGGGGGCCATGGTCAAATGACCTGACACCCTTCCGTCATACTTTTATGCAGACTTTACCAAGTAACGATTACTGGCAAGATCATTTTCATATTTGTAACTAGGTCGAGAAAGCACTAGGTATCTATCACAGTTGGCCTGCACACTGTACCTCATCGCCATTTAACATATGCGATCTGGCTTCTTTAACACAAACAAGTATGTGGATTTCTTTTCATTCAATTTCATGAAGTCACTGACCTACTGTTACTTATTGGATTAAAAGTAATCTTTGGCCAACTAAATTTGCAAAATGTTAATTCAGACCAAGTCATTACTGGCTGCAACTCTACTTCCCAACTTTCAATTTATCACAATCCAAAGACTTTTAACAAAACATCAGTAATCAATCACTTACTAAGTATCACTTTGGATTTATAAACAAATGTAACTTCCTATAAACTTTTAGAACCTAACTTCTGTAACTTAATTCTCACTTTGTTTACTAAGTATTTGGCATTATTTTTAACTTTCAAGGAAGTTCTTTCCCCACCTTTTCTTTCATCTTTATTTTTTTTCATTAAAGGTCAATGTACAATTTACCCATGTGCTAGCTGTTTTAGGTTTTAAAAATACAAAGTTTCTGAAAATACTACATGTTTCACTTTCAACTTACTTGTTCTTTATTTGGAAGAAAACACTGGTGGGAAATCCAAGCAAAGTGTGCCAGTTTTAGTTTATCTTCCCAGGAAGTTGTCTTGCTTTTAAGCTTAAGAGAAATTCCAGAATAAACAGCAGCCATTGCTCCACTTGACCTGCAATCAAAACAATGGGACCAAAATTATCAGAAGGAAGGAAATAATAAAGATTGCTGTCACAGCGGCCCTGTATAGGGTTTCTGAGGAGCAGTTGGTGGGTTTGAACAGTTAACTTTGTGGTTCAAACCTACCTTGCGGTCCAGTACATTATCCTGCAGCACCACACCATGATTCCTAATAAAGATTGTTATTAAGTGCCATTGAGTCAGTTCCGACTCATAACAACCCTGTATAGAGTTTCCAAAGAGCGACTGGTGAGCTTTAACCACCGACCTTGCAGTTCAAACTGACTTTGAAGTCTAGTGAACTAACCCACAGAACTCCGAAGCTGGATTATATGAAGAAAAACGTGGCATCAGTTTTGAAGGAACGTTCATTAACAAGCTACGATATGCAGATGATGCAACCTTGCTTGCTGAAAGCTAAGAGGACTTATAATACTTACTGATGAAAATCAAAGACCACACAGCCTTCAGTATAGGTTACAACTCAATGTAAAGAAAACAAAAATCCTCGCCACTGGACCAATAAATAACATGAAGATAATAGGAGAAAAGAGTGAAGTTGTCAAAGATCAACCATCAGCGCTCATGGAAGCAGCAGTCAACAAATTAATGACGTACTGTATTAGGCAAATCTGCTGCACAAGACATCTTCAAGGTTTCAAGAGCAAAGATGTCAGTTTCAGTAGTAAGGTACCGCTGACCCAGGCTAGGTTATTTTCAGTAGCCTCATATGCATGTGAAAGTTGGGCAGTGACTAAAGGAAACTGCAGAAGAACTAATACATGTGAAGAAGAATATTCAAAGTACCATGGACTGCCAGAAGAACAAACAAGTCTGTGTTGGAAGAAGTACAACCGGAAAGCGCATTAGAAGCTGGGATGGCCGAACTTCGTCTCTCATACTTTGGACATATTATCAGGAGAGACCAAGCCCTAGAGAAGGATGCCATGTTCGGTACAATGGAGGGTCAGTGAAAAGAAGAAGACGCCAACGAGATGGACTGACACAATGGGAGCAGTAATGGCTTCAAGAGTATCAGTGATGGTGAACTTGGCATAGGACCAGGCAGGGTTTTGTTCTGTTTTGCATAAGGTCGCTCCTAATAACAACAATAATTTACTGTGTAAGTTTTTCACTCAAAATATTTCAAAAATAAATACATTAAAAGTACTAAACACGATTAAACTCAATCTTGTTCTTGCTGTGTTGTTGTTAAGTGGCATTGAGTCAGTTCCAACGCATAGCGACCCTGTATACGGTTTCCAAGTTGCAGCTGGTGAGCTTCAACCACTGGCCTTGTGGTTCAAACCGACTTTGCAATCCAGCACATTAACCCACAGCGTTACACCAGGACTCCTTAAACCCAACAGCCACCAGGAAATGGGCACTGTCCACTTAATATACCAGAGAAAGTCAAAGTTTTGTTATAAAATCACAGAAAGCTTTACTAATCAAAAATATCAAAATGTGAAGATACGGTTTCCCAACATATCCTTTAATTTAGGTCTATACACTTCTGAAAGTAGTGTTTCCATCTCTTTAACCTTTCCCCATAGAATTCTGCACTCTTTGATTTATACCACATCTAAATGTTAAGTTTTAAGAAGTTCTGGTAGTAGTGTGCTTATGAGTTGGACTGCTAATCTCACGGTTAGTAGTTTAAAACTACCAGCAATTCCATAGGAGAAATATGAGCCTTTCAGCTCAGATTTCCAGCCTCAGAAACCCTATGCAGGGTCACTATGAGTCAGAACCGACTCCATGGCACACCACCACCACCACCGAATGGTAATTTTGGCATCTTTGAGGTACTCAAATTATGCTTTTTTAAAATATTCTTTGAATTTGGAGAACAGAAAAAAGTCTGAAGACTCAAGATCCGTGCTGTGAAACGGATAGGGTAAGGTTTCCCAATGAAATTCTCGTAGGACAGCCCTTGCTAGCGTGGAAGAATGAACAAGTACATTATTGTGATGGAAAAATTCCTCAGTACACCTTTCCTGTTCTTTTTCATGTCTATATAATTTTCCATTTTCTTAAAACTTCATACTAATAAACAACCCCAAAATCATCTCAAGGAGCTCTGGTAGCATTCTTGTTGTTGTTGTCAGGTGCCATCGAGTCGGAACCGACTCATAGCAACCCCATGCACAGCAGAACGAAACAATGTCCGATCCTGGGCCAACCCCACCATCGCAGCCACACTTGACGCCATCAATGATGCCACCTGGCTGATCCATCTCGTTGGGGGTCTTCCTCTTTTTCTCTGACCCTCCACCTTACCCAGCATGACATCCTTCTCCAGCGACTGCTCTCTCCTGACAGTATGTCCAAAGTATGAGTGACGAAGCTTAGCCATCCTGGCCTCCAAGGAGCACTCTGGTTGCACTTCTTCCAAAACAGATCTATTGGTTCTTTTGGCAGTCCATGACACTTTCAGTATTCTCCTCCAATACCACAACTCAAAGGCATCAATTCTTCTATGATCTTCCTTATTCACTGTCCAGCTTTCGCATCCATATGAGGGTATTAAAAATACCATGGCTTGGGTCAGGCGCACCTTAGTCCTCAAGCTGACATCTCTGCTCTTCAATATTTTTAAAAGTTTCTGTGCAGCAGATTTGCCCAATGCAATACGGTGTCTGATCTCTTGACTGCTGCTTCCATGAGTGTTGATAGTTGATCCAAGAAGAATGAACTTCAATCTTTTCTCCGTTGATAAGAATGTTGTTTATTGGTCCAGTGGTGAGGATTTTTGTTTTTCTGACATTGAGATGTAACCCATACTGAAGGCTGTGTTCTTTGATCTTCATCAGTAAATGTTTCAAGTCCTCTTCACTTTCAGCAAGCAAGGTTGTATCATCTGCATATCGCAGGTTGTTAATGAGTCTTCCTCCAATCCTGATGCCACGTTTTTCTTCATAGAACCCAGCTTCTCGTATTATTTGCTCAGCATACAGGTTGAATAAGTATGGTGAAAGAACACAACCCTGTCTCACACCTTTCCCAATTTTAAAACATTCAGTGTTCCCATGTTCTGTTCAAACAACTGCTTCTTGGTCTAGGTACAGATTTCTTAGAAGTACAATTAAGTGTTCTGGGATACTCATACTTCTCAATGTTGTCCATAGCTTGTCATGATCCACACAATCGAAAGCCTTCGCGTAGTCAATAAAGCATAGGGTTCAGCTCTTGGACCTCATCAATTCTTCCATTTGCTTTAGCTTCTCTAGGCTGGAGAGCAAGTTTCGGAGTCTCCTCTGACATCCGTTTTGACCTTTTCCTTCTTTCTTGTCTTCTTAATGACTTCTTGCTCTCTTCATGAATGATGTTCTTGATTCTGGTAGCGTAGTGGTTACGAATTGGGATGTGAACTTCAAGGTTCGAAACTACCAGCTCTTCTGCGGGAGAAAGATGAGGCATTCTGCTCTTGTAAAGATTTACAGCCTCAGAAACCCTATGCAGGGTCACTAAGAGTCAGAACCAACTCCATGGTATTTAACAACAGCAACAAGATTATCTTGTGTTCAAGAAAATCTATCACAATTACTCTTTTGGAGTCCCACAAAACAGTCACATAACCTTCTGAGCTGACCCCTCTGTCATAAACTGGTCGCAGCAGATCCCGTAGGAAGACACTCTTTTTACTGGACCTTTTTTTTTTTTTTTTTTAAAAAGGCACAAAAGCCTTCGGTATGGATTGCATCTCAATGTCAAGCAAACAAAAATCCTCACCACTGGACCAATAAACAACATTCTTATCAATGGAGAAAAGATT